TTGGTTTGAATATGCGACATTCTTGTGTCGTTTTAGACAATAAAATCAAAAAATAAAAGTTTATCAACAAAGCAGAAGTATCCATCCACCCATCCACCCACGCCCTCCATCCTACCACTCTACCAGGGCACTCTACCAGTATTGCTCATAAGTATAAGAGAAAGAATATATTTGCGGGCCATGTTGGCTTCTATAGTAAAGAGGGCCCCAGGGGTCTCTGGCAACGCTCCACGTGGCATGCATACCGGACTTGCTGCCGGAGGTGGAAGAGGGAGACGCATGCCCCTCCTCTTCAGTATGGCTGCTGTGCAACCAGGCCACCAAAGAATTTAGTGCCCCCCCTTCCCTGGGCAAAGGTAAGAGCCAGCGAGGGCTGAATAAACAAAATACTCACTCTCTGCATCCATTACGTACACACTCTACATCCATTACACACACACACACACTGCATCCATTACACACATACGTACAAACACTGCATCCACTATATACACACAAGACCAGGCCACTGGGAACTAAAATCAGCCATGGAAAAAAATTCTATACCGACCCAATAATGTTTTGCACCAGCATAGTGTGCAGAAATATTAACTTAAAAAACTATTACTCCAACATCAAAGAAAAACACTCATAGGTCTTTAAAATAAACAAGAGCAGATTTATTTTAAGCAGACATGCATTTGCATATAATCAATGTTTCAGTTCAACTTCCTCGACATGTTAAGAAAAGTTTGGAAATGGTAACTGTATGCTGTATGAAGAGCTTATCTTGTTTATTTTGAAGTAATATGAGTGTGTTTTTCACTTTCAATATGTTATCGTGCTGGAGTTTGCAACAAACAACAAGACTGGGCCAATACATGTCTGTATGTCCAAACAGAAGCTCCTCTATCCCGATCCGCGGCTCAGCCACGCTACATACACGCTGTGCTCTCTCCTTCTGCCAATCACTTGCAAATTGCGGTGCCTGGGCCTGTGCACCCAAGGCAGCCATTCAACAGCCCTAAAGGTAAGCCTATCCATCAGGAAATTTCCCAGTGGGCCAGTTCGGCCCTGCACACACTGCATCAACTTTACTTATTTTTGTGGGTGTCCATGGGGGAGTGGGTGGGTCCTGTGGCAGGACTCAAAGGTGAGCCCCAGGGGCCCAGTCTATGAACTGTGTAAGTGGCCCCAAAAATTCACTTTGAACTCTCACTTTTGTGAAATACCCTTTAGAAGTAATTTCACATTCATACTTTTTTATTACCCTGTTAGAATTCACTTTGAGCAAATGTGGGTGACTGAGATTTTGCGGACTGTGACAATCATAATCACAAACTAAGTACCCTCTAACAAATGTGAATAAACGCAGAACCATTAGCACAAACATTCTGCACCCTAATCACTAATGCTGTCTAAGGACCCCTATTTAAGTACTCATAAATATGTGTTCCGTAAATCTAACATAAAAAACATAACACTTTTTTGACAATCTGTATTTAAAGTAGTTTCAAGTACAAGTATATCCGGGAAGTAGGATTAGGATTAGGTGCAATACAACAAAGGATTAGGTTACATTACAACTCACAGAAACTGAACAATTGGTGATAGTGGACCTCAGAAATATATCTGACAAAATGAGTAACTAAACTAAACCCTCAGGGAGGCACCCTCAGGGCACTATAGTGCCAGGAAAACGAGTATGTTTTCCTGGCACTATAGTGGTCCTTTAATTCAATATAAATACAATTTAGCATGGAGATTTTATGCAGTTATTTATGGAGAAAAAGACATTACAGTTTAAGGAGATTTTGTTTTGTTGCGCTTTGGGCCAATTGGTCAAGATGCATGGTCCATTTAACACCAGTAGATTTGTCTGTAATCTTAGTAAATCCTTTGTCTACTTGGTACCTCTGCAAAAACATTAGTCTGATCTGCCTCTAAAGTTGCCTTTATTAAGTTCCAAGGACACATATTGCAAGTTACTTCATGTATTATGATGAATGCCTGTAAGGTTAAAAATTTACAATGTTAGTTGACAACGAAGGAGTTAAATAATTCTTTAGAAAGGGGCCTATGTGACATTGTTGCAACTTGAAATTGCCTTATAGAAGTGGGTCAGTGTCACAGAGTAATTGTGTGTGGCAGCTGAGTGGCGCACTCTATGCAGCAGCTGGTTTAATCCAGTACTTGTAACAATGAAGGACAGGACATGAAAGAGGTGAGCCTGCAGCTGGCTACGTGTTCACTAGAGGCCACTGTCTTCAACAGACATGTGGTTAAACACTAACAACTAAACCAGGTCACTTGCATGCACACAATCTCATAGAGAGGGACTGAGATCTGCTCTCGTATTTCATTAGTTGTAGAAAGAAAACTTGCATGTTCTGTTTATCAGTTTTTTTAACCGATCTCAACCTACCTATTATAGAGTGTGTTATGGGGAATGTGTGTACACATCTAACCTGCCACCTGTAATCTGATGTCTGCATCCGTACCAAATTTATCCTGCCTTGGTGGGGATATAATCTTTACACGTAAAGTGTCCAGAATTCTGGACCTTAGAGAAAACTTGAACTGAGTTTAGGACCATATTGGAATTAAAATTAGTATATATTTACTGGAGTATTTACTGAAGTGAGAATTCAAAGTAAGTTTAAAACTTCAGGTCGAACTGGATAAATTCTCAGCTATACCTTCAGTTTGGCTAATCTGGACTTTTATTTGAATTTCTCCTTGAAATTATATTTTAGTAAATAACCCAGTCTATAACACGTAGGTCCACATCCATGCTGCAGCAAGTATTATGCAGTGCCTTATATAAATAGTCACACTTCTTGGACATTTCCACATTCTGTAGTGATAGAACATGGAATTACTTTGATTTTATTTAGAATTTTATGATTTGCCTAACAATTTGAAGATTCAAAATAATTTAATTGTGACAAATACTAATTAGACAAAGAATAACAATAAAACACAAATAGATGTTTTTTGATTAAATAGCTATTTACCCTTTGAGCCAATACATGGTAAATGCGCATCATTTCGTTGCATTACAGATGTGAGTCTTTTGAAGTGAGACTTTGCAAGCTTTGCATATCTGGATCATGCAATTTTTGTGCCATATTGTTTAAGATCTGGTAGGCTGGATGGGAACCTTTGGTAGACATTACTGAATTGCCTCTTAGCGAATTGGGCAAAGCCATCCTGTTGCATATGAGGCCATTTGGACTGCGAAATCTAATGATTGCTGATGAAATTAATCAATGTCTGGATTTTGTAAACCAGACTCCCAAATGGGCCTGAATTTGGTCTTGATTTCAGCTGGACTGAAAGCCGCTGGATGATTGAAATCCAGGCCGGGGGGCTCGTACGTCAGGCCTTTTTAAAAAAAAAACAAAAAAACTATTTGACAGCTGGCAGTGCTTGCAGCCAGTGAGCAAAGGGTTAAAAATCCTTGGCAAGCACTACATTGTGTCATGTGTCTGTGTCATGTGGAAGGTTTGCCCTGCTTTCTGAAGCATCACCAAGCAGGACAAATCCAAAACTATGGGTGGTGGTCTAATATATATTAAAAAATAAAAAGGAGGGGACATATTGCCGGGGCCCTAATAACAATGGGGGAGATCTACTATCCCCCACCCATGGGCAGCTGGTGGGAGCCCAGGTATTAATACTAAAAGGGGGGACCTATTGTCCCCAAACCACAAGCGGTTAGCCGGGGTCCTAATTAGTGATAAAATAAAGGGCGTGGACATGCCGTTGTTCAACCCCAAATAATAGGTTGCTGACCCTCCTGGGTGGCCAGGGGTCTCGAATCTCCTAGCCACCTCATAATAATAAATTAAAGTCTCAACCTGCCCCTCCTCACCCTAATAATGGAATAGATCTAAAATCTGTTTTCAAGTTTTTGAAGCGTACCATGTTTGGCAGACCCTGATTGATGCAGGTCTGTGGCTTACTCAACATGGACTCTACTAACCCGCTTCAGACTACACTTCCCCCATCCTCACCGGTGTAATTTATTCCGGCACCTACGGTCTAGTGTATCATTATTTGCTGAGTTTATTTTCTCTGTTAAATAACCTGAGATCCACTTTCTTCTTTTCAGGGATGTTCCATTCTCTGTCATCTACTTTCCCCTTTTTGCAAATATAAATATGCTTGGCCAGACATCTTCCCATGAGAAGGCACCATTCTACCATTCATTTTTTGCTGGATGTTTGGCAGGGTCTGTGGCTGCTGTTGCGGTGACTCCACTAGATGGTAAAAATAAATTTGTTTTTATTTTGAAGGTTGGGGTGGTATGCTGTGCACTGTTTATGTTCCACATATATCAACATTAACGGTCAAGTCCTGTAGTCCCGGCTATAAAGTCCTACATTTGATGAACTATATCTAATTGGCTAAATAATAATAATAACAAAGTATTTAGCCAGGAAAGGCACATTCAGATTACTCTGGTTTTCAGGTACGTCCTGGGAATGTTACCTTAGCCCAACATCCAGGGGTTGTTACTATAAATGAGTTTATTTAGCCAGTTAGATATATTTAATAAAATAGAGAGTGGGTTACCATTGATTTTTTTTAAAAGTGCAAAAAGTCTAGAGAATGTGGGTGGCAACTTATTTTCTCTTCCATAAACAAATGGATAGACCTGATATTATAATATGTTATAATTTCAATAACCAGATCATGTTTTCAGTATGCTGTATAGAATGAGATTGTGAAATGTAGGCTCTTAATATCAAGGCAGCACTAGGACATGCAGTTGTTGCTTAGCCTGAGATGGGTGGAAGCTAAACTCCTGATGAACATCTGCTTATTTACATCCACCACTATTAATCAGCCCCTCTCCAATTATCGTTATCCCAGGACAGGAAATGGGGAGAGAGGATCTTACTCTCTTTCTCCGACTCTTCATAATGATTGGGGGGGCTGAATTAAGGACAATGAATGCAAAAATGAACTGTTATCTGGGAGAGTAACTCCCAACGATCTTGTATGTCCCAATGCTGCTCCATAATAAAGAAGACCATGGAGTATATATAATAGAAGATACCCTCTAAACATTTTTGCTTAAAGGGACACTCACTTTTTTTCTGATAGGGACAGCTCACCTTTACCATATCCCACTACACATTATCCAAATGTATATACAAATCTCCCTTATATACATGGGCGTCCGCAGGGGGGGCAAGGGGGGTCACTTGCCCCCCCCTGGATTTTTCAGCTTGTTCTGCTATTTTTCGTGTGAGATTTAAAATGAACTGCAATACCGTGTGTATGGAGAGAGACAGGGATAGGAAGCTGCATCTTATCCCTGCTTCTCTCTGCTGATTGAAACCGCAGGGGAACAACACATGCAGCCAGAGACAGCCTACAGATCAGGTAAGTGGGGGATGGGGGGGCAGAGACAGCCTACAGATCAGGGGAGTGAGGGATGGGGGGCAGAGACAGCCTACAGATCAGGGGAGTGAGGGATGGGGGGGCAGAGACAGCCTACAGATCAGGGGAGTGAGGGATGGGGGCCAGAGACAGCCTACAGATCAGGGGAGTGAGGGATGGGGGGCCAGAGACAGCCTACAGATCAGGGGAGTGAGGCTGGGGG